CACACACACACACACACACACACACACACACACACACACACACACACCGGCTGTGGTTGCTATGTCCACATATGTGAGTCCACACTTGACTCTTCAATGCAACCAGCCTGATGGGCTAGTGATGGATATAAGTTGTGGTCAAAGAAGAGGCTGTAACAAACTGGATAAACACATTTCATATCCCATACATTCTTCACAATAAAAGCGCACCGTTATTTGTGCTGCCTACTCTTCCTCCCTGCAGGAGCACAGTTTCCTTTCAAATAAAAATCCCCTGTATTTCTTATTTAAAAGCCTTTATTTTGAGGCAGCAGAATCATGAAATGTTGTGTTATCATCAGCAGTAACTTCACAGCATTCAGACAGCAGTGCCCTAGCCCTGGGTTTCCTCCTCTCTCCCCTTTGCTCTCCTTGGGAGAGGAACACTGTGTTGGGGGAAGATGATGGAGACCTTCGTTTGACATATTGTGCCCATATTCTGTCCACGCCTCACGGAGAACCTAACTCCATGCGATCCAGGCCGCCACAGCTTGCTAGCAAGATGCGATTTTGAAGCAGGCAGACTTGTGCCCTGGCATGATGAGCTTCATTGAAAAGACAAGTGTAACCGCAGCCATCCATCATCCAAAACAGCTGCTTCTCTACTTACAACCATGTCATTGTTTAGTAGAGCTCCAAGCTAATGTAGAGCCATCCGGATTATTGTGGGGCTTATTCTGCTTCCTGTGATGATCCCACTGAGCTTCACGTAGTCAGTGAATGAGATCTCATCTCTGCACACAGACTAGTGTAATCCTGCAACACCGTTTTTTTTGGCTCACTCCGGGGCAGCGGAAACATATAATTAACATTAACATATCATCTTTTAAGTTAGGACATAGTGGCTTATTTACACATCCAGCAGCTACAGAGCAACATCAACATGCATGTTCATCTGTTTGTGTCCACCTGATGAAAGTCCAATATTCTCTCCTTGTAGCTCTGTTCATGGTCTCCAGCAGCTCCTGAGGGAAACGTGTCTCTTTATCTGCTGAAGGCTCCTCCATGTTCACCAGCTAGTCTCCACCTGTGTCTGTCTGCTGCCTGCTGAGCAGGAACAGCACAGTGACTTTCATACACATACTGGTCGAGCCTTAGAGCTCACCAATAGATTGGCCTGCTGTTTAGAATGTCTGATGGTCTGAAATGCCTCGTGGTAACGTATTCTGATGGATGTGTGTCTCTGCACAGACTGGGTCCATTAGGTGAAGAGGTCATTATTGTAGGAAGGTTTTACTGCATCGGGGCAGTGGAGCCAGATAGATATCATTCAGTTACAGAACATCTTCTTCACCAACATCCTCGTATTGATGTTTGTCTCTGAAGGGAGTGATCGAGTTCTCTCTGTGTCTGCTGTTTGCCAAGCTGGTCAGCTACACCTTCCTCTTCTGGCTGCCACTCTACATCACCAAAGCAGGTGAGGACCAAACACAACGACAACCAGTAGTGCTCTTCATCAGAATCCTCACTTATGAAACTAAACTAAATGATTGTTCCATTGAATCCTTGATGTTCAACACTATATGACAGTATAAGGTGATGTTCTGAGTCTGCTTGTTCTCAACTCTTAACTGACACAATATGATGTTAAACATTAAGACCACCAGTGTGTGAAACACGGGGGCTCTCGATGGATTCACACTTCAGACGCCCTGGAAGCCTCATTAGCTAAGGTTCAGGGAGTCTCTTAAATCATAAGACAATTATTTGTCACTTGCAATTGTCACTAAATGTAATGCTTAATGTGAAGAGGTTTTCATAATTCAAAATACAAAACATTTATTCACAAATATGAATAGTGAGGCGATAGTAAATTGGTGTAAATGACACAGCCAGCCAGATGATGGCCATCGGGTATTTACGCATCTGGCATAAGACTCAGACGAACCCAGCAGCGGGACTATTAACATGATATCTCATCAAGCTACTGCTCCTGACAGACACGCGGTCTACCGCGCAGACAGAACTCACGCCTCTGGTAAGAAGAGTGGAGTGTTTACACCAATGATTCCATCAGCATGTCCACATCTCCACCAGAGGGAACAATACACTGGACCATGTTCACACAAAGCCCCCCCCCCGCCCTGCTTTGGACCATCAGATCATATTTCCCTGCTTCTGCTACATACTTCCACCCTGCTGATTAAACGGGCATCACCATCAGAAGAACAGTGAAAGTGTGGACAGATGAAGCTACAGCTGCTCTAAAGGACTGTTTGATGAACACCAACAGTGACATCAACATCAGCAGACGTGTTCATTGTAGTGATCACAGAGACACTAAAATGACTCCAGAAGCAGAAAGCCTGGATGAGAGGAGAGGTGAGGGCTGAGAGCCAAAAGAGCTGGAAGGAAGCATACAGCATCGCCAGAGCAAGACTGAACGCTGGCATCAAGGAGGCAAAGAGGAGGAGTCACGAGAGACTGATGAGAGACCTCAACACCAACAACACTACAGACATGAGGCAGGAGATCCACAAAGTCACAGGCTACATGCAGGAGCGCCCCATCACGTGTGGGGCCACGCTCACACATGAGCTGAACACCTTTAATGCTCGCTTTGACCTCCTCCACCAAGAGTCAGCCCTCACGTCTGCCCCTCCCTCCAGAGGACCGGACGCTGTGAGGATCCACAGAGGATGTGAAGCTGCTGGGCCTGATAGCATCCTGGTAGTGGACTAAGAACATGTACCGCCCAGCCAGCTGATATTCACTCATATCTTCAACACAGCACTGTCACAGGAGAGACTTCACAATGTTGTCTGTTGGTTTCAGCTCAGCCTTCAACACAATCTCCCCATGAAAGTGATTGGTGAACGCGAGTAGCTCACTCTGGAACTGGTCATTAGACGTCCTCACAAAGAGACCCCAGCACCTCCTCCACTCTAGTGTTGAACACCGGAGCCCCCCAGAGCTGTGAGCTCAGCCTCCTGCTGTTCACACTGAACACCCACGACTGCTACCCCAAACATGAAGAGAACTCTGCTGTGACGTCTGCAGAGGACACAAACAACAACGGGACTTCATCTAGAGAGGAGATCAACAAGCTTCAGAGTGCAGCTCAGAGAACAACCTCCTGCTCAACGTCAGGGAAAGCAAGGAGCCGAGTGACTTTAGAAAAGAGGAGGCGAAGACACACATCCCCGTCTACATGAGCCGGAGCTGAGGTGGAGCAAGTGAACAGCTTTGAGTTCCTGGAAACCAGCATCACCAACAACCGGACATGGTCCTCACACATCTCCATCCTGGTGAAGAAAGATCACAAACTGCAGGTTTTCTTCAGGAAACCTAAGAAGGCAAAGTTCCAGGTTCTTGTTAACTTGTAGAGAGGAGCAATAGAAAGCCTTCTGACTGAAGCATTACAAACTGGCATAGGATGTGCACAGCCCAGTGCAGGAGGGCTCTACAGCGGGTGATCAAACCATCATCGGTACCATCTGCTGAGCATCAGTGATGTTGGTGAGAAGAGGAGCCTGCAGAGAGCTAAAGGGATATTAACAACCCACCAGCTACACCCTGTTCACCAGCTGCACCCTGTTCACCTGCTGCACCCTGTTCACCAGCTGCACCCTGTTCACCAGCTACACCCTGTTCACCAGCTGCACCCTGTTCACCAGCTGCACCCTGTTCACCTGCTACACCCTGTTCACCAGCTACACCCTGTTCACCTGCTGCACCCTGTTCACCTGCTGCACCCTGTTCACCAGCTACACCCTGTTCACCTGCTGCACCCTGTTCACCTGCTACACCCTGTTCACCAGCTACACCCTGTTCACCTGCTACACCCCTATATATTCTGTGTCAATGAAATATATAGATAGATAGATAGATAGATGAGGTTGTTCTGGACCTGGCTTTGTAATTCAGGCTGGGAAACAATAGAAAGACTTTTGGAACAGACCTGTTTCTGTAATAGATTCTTTTTGCCTTTATTAGACGGGACAGATTGAGGCTGCAGGTCAGATTTGAACCAGGCCTCTGCGCAAATGTCTCAGCTTTGGTACTTTGGGCTCCCCGGGCTCACCTGGTAGAGCAGGCGCCCGATGTACCAAAGCTGAACAGACCTTTTACACAGCATTATTACATTGTTTGCTATGTGATCACTGAGCTGCAGTATCTCAGCCTGCCAGCTCTTTGTGGTCCCCTGAATAATGTCACATTGTATTGTGCTGATGTTCAGTGTGTAGGCAGTCCAGCCCACTCGGTTTCATTATTTACTATGAAAGGCCGTGCCAGACAGAGAATTACATTTGTGTGTGTGTGTGTGTGTGTGTGTGTGTGTGTGTGTGT